AATAAGCCTGGGAGTGGTTAAGGCACAATAATCTGCTTTATTAAAAAAAAAAAAGTTTTAAATTACCGATTTTATTCTCATCTGCAATCAGCAAGCAAGAAAGAGCTTTAAATAATCATTTTGCAGACATTTGCATAATTTCCCCTTAATTTGAAGTTACATTCCATCGAAAAGTCTGACCATAAACATAAGAATGACAGGATGTGCTCAGACAAAATGCTTGTAGACAAAAGGCTTGTGAGCCTGTCTCCAGCAGTGGCCAACTCCCACTCTAGCCATTAAAATGCATTGATTTGCAAGGAAGGTAAAGACTTTACATTCAAGCTGTCATTCTTTTCACGATATAGAGGGAATACATGCTATTTCTAACTTATTTGGATACCTATTTGTTATTGTTTTTAGTATGTTAAAAATAACACTTCTGAGAAGATTAAAACAAATTAAATAGCTTTTTGTTAGTTTGCATGAAATCACTTTCCATGAAATTAAATGTTCTAAGTACTCCAATTACTTGAGTAGGTGGTTTTTAGTTACCTAAATCATTCAGCATTCAAAAATTATTGCCTCAGATCCAATTTTTATTCCTGTAACAGTGGAAAACAGAACTTCCTACTTTTCCTGCCCAAATTGGTTCCCTAGTCAAATGAAAAATGGACTTTTTTCTGCACCTGTAAGAGACTGCTGCTGACAAAAAGCTATTTTAATTTAAATTAGGCCCATGGTCAGTTTTGTCAGGTGTGGTGGGTGCAGGTCTCTCTTGTATCCTTCCTTGACACCTCAGACGGTTAATGGAGCATCTTTTCCTCTGGCTTCAGTAAGTTTAACCTTGCCATTCCCAGATGCCCTCAGAACACTCTTACCATTGTAGACAAATCCTTTTATCATTCCTCCCAGCCTGTCCCTCTGACCAAGAAGGTCCTCATTCTACATCTCCACCTCCTCTGAACATTCCTAAAGAATTCCACTTATACTTAAATTTTCACCCTCAAAATCCTTCAGGGACTACTTCCATCACATACGCCATGCAGAACAGAAAAGTCAGATATGTGCAGATAGCCACTTTCACACATTCCCTCAAGCTACTGCTCTGAGAAGACATGCTCTGGGTATATGTGCCCCACTTTCTTGCTGGTCTCTCAAGTCTCCTCCCTTAATCTCTTTTTGACCTTTGTGTCCTCAGAAAGGCTGAAGACAGACGGGTTACTAACCTCATGAACACAGCTTCCTTGGTTCCTTACACTCTACCCTTATCATGATGTCTAACTTTATAGAAATCTGAATATGTGCACATTCCTGATTCAAGTCATATTTGTATCATGATTTGCTAGCCCACAGGTGCAGTGTTAATGATTGTACAACAATAGTCATAGGCACATCAGCAATAATACTTAACTAATTACATAAAATAGTGCTAAGCAACTAGTATTAGATGCACTGTGCCACATGAAAGGTCCCCTGAGCCCATTACTTTTCATCTGACAGTCACCTTGTATCAATGTCTGGGGAAGAACGAAAGCAGGAAAGGCATATACATACACACATATACACATAAAAATAGCATCCCAGCTTCTAACTAATTTCATCAAAAGGATATCCTTAATCACATAAGAGTTCTGGTATTTTTTGTAGCTATCAATGATCTCTGCTTTGTACATAGCCTGTGTCTGCTGCAATTCAATGAAGTGTTAAGTTTTGGCATCTAAAACCTTATTCGCAATGAGTTCCTCAGGTCTGCAAGACCCCTGGTTGAAGAGCTGCCTCCTGTATTTAGATGGAAATCTCCTACCAACTTCATACAAAGTGCTGTAAGTCTTGTAGTGGAAGAGAATCAACAGCCAAATCTGTCCACTCTTCCATGTCATGCATCATTTTGTAGACTTCTGTAATTCCCCCCTGGGCTCTTTTCCAAGCCTAATGCCTGGCATTTCTGACAGCTGAAGACAGTTAGCTCAGTAGTTCTTTACCCAGAAGCTGTTTGAGACCTTTGATGATACTTTTTGCCCTTTTCTGACACGTTCCAGTTCTGCTGAATGTTTCTGACCAAAATTTCGCAAAGTACTTAAGATGACAGCAAACTATGCTTTTATATAGTAGCATATGGAGATTCTATGGTTAACTTTCTGTTCGCTTCCTAATTATATCTAGTATTTGGTTTGCTTTCTGACCATCAAACAAGCAGCTAATGCTTTCACAGAACTACTACTTATAAGCCTAAGATCTTTTGTTCCTAAGGGACGATAGTTTGCTTGGGCTAAAAAAAAAAAAAAAAGAAAAAAAAATATTTTTCTTTCAGATTGCAACTCCCACAAAAGCCTCAGGAATGTGTCTTAAATGACACTGTTATGCTAAGAAAGTGATTTACTATTATTATAATTAAAAAAGAACACAGGATTAACAATGGTGAAAAAAGCCTAGAATCTTCTTACGGAGAGCAAATCTAGAAGGTCAGATGCTATTTTTATAAGGTTCTTATGCTTTTGTACTTAATCAGGAATGTCTGTTCAATTGACGTATGGACTATTATTTTAGAGAAAACATGAGCAGGGCTTCACAGTTCTCACTGAAGTTAATTTCTGAACTATGTGTAGACACAGTCTGAAGTTACTTTTCCGAGACAGTAACTGTTTCACATTCACTACATTTCCTTAATAAAAGTGTTTTGTACATATAAATATGATATGTTAAAACTTTCATATTAACTTATTCTGAGAGCAAATGGCCTGCAACAACGTTCTGATGTGACAACATCCCACAATCTGCACAGTTAGGAAAGGGGGAGTTTAGACCACGGAGGACAGTTATCATCATGTATTCTTTCAAACATCACTCGTAATCACTGTGTTTCTTTTCTTTTCCTTTTAATTTTTTTTTTTCCCTCTCTCTGAAATCTTCTCAAAGTAGTGGAATGATCCTTCTTATAAAAAGAAACCTATCACTGCTCTGAAAGAAATCTTGGTAAAGCCCTGAGCATGCCAGACCCTTAAATGCATGTAAGCAGAACAGCACATGTAAAGCCAATTAGTTTGAAATTACTAATACGTTTAAGTGCTTCCTTGAATTAGGATAGTCAATTTACAATCTACAGGCTCCTACAGCTCACTATATTCATACTTCACACCACTTCAGTTATTTTTGTGTGGCCAAGTTAAAGTTTTGAAATGTTATCTGCCCAATAACAAAATCATTCTGTTCTATTTTACTAAGATGAAGATGCCACTTACTTAAAGAAGAAACCTTCTGGAGAGCAGACCTTACCCTTTCTTCTAAAAAAGTATGCATATATTATAATACAAGCGAACAAAGAAATTTAAACATAACTTTTCAAATCTGCTTGAATGTGAAGGAGAAGCGCACATGTGGGGAACAGAAAAAGAAAAGAGGGTATCCACACTGGTAACAAGCAGCTATTTTCCTTAAGTTGTTTTATAAATTTAAGGTAGATAGGTTCCAGCAGAGCCAGGGCCACTGAAGTAACCATTGTGCAGAACTGCTCCACACAGCAGCTTTTGTATCTCCACTGACCACAGAAGCACAGGACCTCTACTAGCTGCCTGGGAGAAAATGCTATGACTGCTCCTCTATGTGACTTAAGCCAGGTCTTAACACTATGCTTCTCTATTTTAATAAATCCTCCCAGCTCATCTGCTCCCTGAAATTCACTTCAGGATTATTGAACAGGAATTCAGATAAAGAGAAAGTCCTAGAAATCTGCACACTGTGGCTGTTGAAACAGACTAGATGGAGATGAGCAGTAACATCTAAAAGACACAGAGATGTGGTGCACAGGGACGTGGTTTAGCAGTGGACTTGAAGTGTTAGGTGGATGGTCGGGCTTGATGATCTTAAAGGTCTTTTTCAACAGAAATGATTCTATGACTTAATATTTGAAGACTTTTTTTTTTTTTTTTTTTTTTTTTTTTTAAGAATAAACTAAAAGCCATTGCAAGTCTTCCAAATTAAAGAATTCCAAAGGCAAAAGATAAAGACCGACAAACACCAGACATATTCTTTGAAGTACTGAAAGCAACCCAACACATTCTCAGACAAAATAGAATTCAAGGCAAAAAGACACAGAGAAACGTTCCTTGAATACCTTAGATGACTAGTAGTGGTGACAACTTTCAAGCATGCATGCAATTCAGGTTAAACAATATATTGCAGTCACCACATGGGTCACCTACAAAAAGAAAGTAGGGTCAACCTGTAAACCCTCTCAGTGTGTTGTCAATGACAATTTTATTACTGAAAATCAAACCATGATGACAAGATAAGTAATGACAAGGTTTATTTTTATTTTATTATTATTTTCTTCTCCCTGGAAATGAGATTTAAAATGAAAGAAATAAATAATAAAGTTTTTGTTTTTCATGAGATTTGGGGAGGAAAAAAATTTGCTACGAGAGATACAAAAGGAAAGAAAAATCAGGTTGTTGGATAAAAAAAGTCTATAAAGGACTTCTCCATGCTGTGAAGCCTACTTTTCCCTTTTGACAGCTCCCAAGAAAGTTAAAGCTTATAGGAACACCTCCTCCTGAGTTTGGATGGAAATTGCTTTCTCTGAAATGCAGGCTGATTGCACTATTAGAAATGCATAATTATATCCACATTTAATAATGGTTTGGTAAAAGGATTTGTATAAAAATATAGGATTGAAAATAACACCACATGCAGCCCAGAAAGTGAAAACACATTTATTTCTTAAAGGACATATCAACTCAAAAAAGTGAGACGAAACCCTCCTGAATCTCTTCCTTACATGCACACTGGAAATTTTTACTTTTCTAAGAAAATAGTAATATTTTTTGAGTAATATTTAAGAGTAATATTTTCTCCTTTGAAAAAAGTCCTTACATTATAATTAATAAAATATCATTGTTAATAGTCAAACGAGTACTTGTTGATATGATTAAAATTCTCTAAGTTTCCAGTTCCTTCAAGATACCTGTACGAAAAATCACATAGTTACAGAAACATTGGTGGCCATCTAGCTGTTTACTCACCCATTTCTTGTCTGGTACTGCAGATTCCTGTTCCATACTTTTGTAACTCTTTGGTTACAGTTTTCAAAGCATTAGGTTCTGTTTCTGCAAAGCCGAGGTAGTTATAAGAACCCATATTGATTACGTTCTTGATAGTTCTTCCTGTAAACCTATAAATCAATAAAAATTTTAAAGAATGCTGCAACCCTCCCACGCACATTAAATGAAAACAGAAGAAAAAAATCCCAAATTGTGTTCCACTGTTGGGTTCATATTTGGAATTGACAATCCTTGTATCATTAACATCCTACAAGTTTTTCCAGCCTTTCCTTTTTTTTGCCAGGTGAAATGGCAATTTCGTGGACCAAAACCCAACCAACCAAACCAAAAAAATTATTGTTAGTGTAGCCAACCTACAAATTATCTATATGGTAAATTTTCATATCATTTAACTCAATAACAGTTGTGATGTACTGAAATCTTCAAGCTGTAAACTGCTTAAAACTCACTGCCAGAGACTCACTATGCAAGTTAGAAGGAGCACTTATGCAATGCAAGAAATTATTATTTAAATCCTAACCAAGGGATACAATAAACTTAGTTGCAATATTCTGACTAAAGATCTATTATAAATGAAGCATAAGCTGTTCTACGTGTGCTGACATTGCCAAACAAATCTCACTTCTAGAGTTCAGTGTCTTCCACATTGCATTGCCAAACAATATTCAGAAGAAAGAGGACAAATTCTCAGAACTGTACTGATTTCGGAAAAAAAGTGCTAACGGATATCTCTGGGGATTAGGTATAATGGGCCAGATGCACCTTTCTGTGCTTTGCAGATGTATCAGGATTAATTCTTAAGAAATTGACACCTGCAGAATGTAAGCTGACTCACCTAAATGTCCAGTTGTAATCATCTGTAACGCGTTCCATAAGGTCAAACTGCGGCCCTGGGACACTGCAAATTGGACGATTCCAGTTATCACGTATTCTCATATAGAGGTTTCTGGTGTAAAAGTTCTCAAAATCTTGATAAAGTGGCACAAAATCCTGGTTTGAAAACATGCACAGGGTTATGTTGCTAGGAAAATCTCTGCTAAGGAACCCAAGTCATTCCCATTACAAAGGAAAAATTGATTCATTAGTAAACAGAGGGTTACAACAACCACATATTCCTATGTCACAACTCCAATCGACAAATATGTTTAATTACTTTGAGCTACATTTTTTTTCTTAAACTTCACATGGTCCACAAGTTGGCCTAACTCTCCACTCCAATATTTGGAATGTTCAAAATGAATTCATGATATTTCCACTATTTCCACTTGGAGAACCTAAACGTTTCAAATTGAACATTTTGCTACATGCAGAGCAGATTGAAAACAGAGAAATAACTCACCGTATTTCATTAAATATTGGCCATGTTAGATTAAAGTTAGTCCAAATGATCTGGGCATTATTGGTCTAGACTGGACATCCGAACAGTTAAGACAATGAGTTTGGCTGATGACTAGTTTCTATCTATGGATTTTAACTTGAAAATTAAACTAAAAGAAAGGGACAGAATCAAAATAAAGTTTTATATGAAACAGAAATATAGCCGTGTTAGATATTGGATTCAATGGACTGATAAAATAACATGGCACGTAGTTACATATGTAGAAGACTGGAGAAGTAACTGACCATGTAGATACATTATGGATGGTGTCAAGATTTAACTAGCATATCTGAAATCAAAATAGTGCATGAATGGCCAAAATAAGTGAATTGAAAAAAGTTATTCCAAGAGAATGCTCATATAAAGATTGCACCATTGTATTTCAGTTTGTAGTGCAAGCATCTTTGAGAAGCCAAATCAGAAAACATTATTTTAGGAATTTTATTTGTAAGAAGAACAGTAATACTATTTACAGTTTTACTCCATTATGCCAGGTGCTATAGTAAGTCACAGTTCAAACTGCACAGAGGAGGTGGAGCAGCAAAAAATCTAAATGAAGTTAGAATGCAATTGAACTTGCTGAGGTGCTTTGTGACTTGCAGTTTGACAAACATAAGTGAGCAATCACAAAGATGTTAGTTCTGCCTATTGCTAGAAAGGACAAGGTAGCATATGGAAAGATAGGGGTTGAAGAGATATAGCTAGATGATATAGTTAACAACAAAGGGTTTATGAGTTTTCTTTTTCTTTGAATTGACCTAAGACATTGAGATTCTATTCTGCTGACAGTGGAAAACTCAGTTGTGGATACATACATACTTTTTTATACGTACTTTTTGTTGTTCTCTCTCTTCAGCAATGTTACGTTTTTCTAGTCCCCAGGCTCTCATAAAATCCCGCAGGTAGCCAAATATTGTGCCCACTCCAAAACCCACGAAAGTAAGAACTGCAACATACATTGGTGCCTGTTCAAAGTGCTCAATAAATGTTTTTTTGTAGAGAGTTCCATTTGATACACCATTCTTCTGAAAATATAGAACAGAAACTTGGGATTAATAACTCTTCAACTGATCAAAGTTTATACCAAAACCTTAAACCTTGAAGTAAATCTTTTCCTCTAATATACAACAAAGCAGGAGAGGCATTTAGACCTCTCACCATATCAGATAATGCAATTTATACTTGGAGGAGGGGGCTTCTAACACTGCTGGTGCTACTGATCACTGCAAATATATTCCATTTTCTCTCCTCTCCACCAATGCCTTCAATTGCAGGCGTCTTCAACACCACTCCCTTGTCTATTTTGAAACACTGGAAACTTATGAAAGACTGGCAACATATTACTGTTTAATTGGACAATTATTTCAAAGGTGATTAAATGCAAACCACAATACTCTGTTCTTGCAAGACCAAACTATAAAAAGGGAAGGGCGGCATTGAAAACTCACCTACACTGGGCCTGACGCTGCTTCTGAAACGCTTGTGTAACCCGCTACAGCAGCTAACCCATAAACAGGAAATCCTGCCTAAAATAGGGCACCTTTGCCATGCTGTTCTTCAGATCTGAGGAAGTACCCAAAACAGCAATAATCCCAGCCTTCCATTTCTGTTCCAATTTCAAAAATGCCTTTAATTATACTTCCAATTACCTCTTCCATACTTCTAAAGGTATTACAAAACAGAAAAAAAAAAGAAACAAAAGGCAATACACATGGACAAATACACACCCTTTGTTTGCTGGAATTCGTCATGCTATTGTGACCGACTCCTAGAAATTTACAGTCATGCGTGGACAAAATTAATTTGTCTTTAAAATATTATAAAACTTTGGGAGTTCACAAGTGAAAGAAGCTCAAGTTTTCAACTGCAATCTTTTCAGACCAACCTATATTCAGAATGTTTATCAGATTGTTCTTTAAAATAGAAGTAACCCCTCATTTCCACAAAATAGGACAGCATTTCTGGTTACTTTCTAGTAATGTTCAACTTGCCAATTCAAAAAATAATTAAAAAATGTAATCCTTCTGTTAAAAAAGGACCATTTTTGAGCTTATTCTAAAGCAAAGCCTACAACCATATGAAAAAATTGCATTAATCCATTTCTGCCTGTGGGATGGATGAGCCAAAATAAAAGATTATTTATGCAATGCAGCAAGCCGAAATACAGTAATTACATTAAGAACAATCACAAATTCACTGCACTTGCTAGAACTAGCATACTGCATTAAGTTGCCTTTATCTTCAGATGATTTTGATTTCAATTGTAGCTTACTGTCCAATCTTGGATTTACAGTGCTTTCCCAAAAGAAAAAAAAAAATGCAGGATACAGGATAGAATGTAAAGATTTTGTAGAAACCCAAAAAAGGAAGAAATTCCAGGGTGATGAACAGAAATTCATCTAGCCTTTGGGAAGACTTACTACCTTGTGAAGGAGAAGGAATAGAGAGCTGGTTCTCCCCATGCGAGTGTAGACCTTTGAAGCAATTCTGCATAGGCACCTCTACCTAAAGCTAATTATTCTTTTAGGCCAACCCATTTACCATGAAAAACATTCTATGAGAGTGAGTTAAACACCTGGTCCAGTCATATTTCAGGTAAGCCACAAGAGCCGTGTGTACGCTACGACACAATGCTCTATTCCATCAAGGACTAAGCTAAGCCCCATTACCATATGTTTGCCACAGGCTAAGAGCATACTTATGGTCATCTATGGCAATTCCATTGACGTTGTAGTTTGGCAAGCTGTGCCGATGTGATAATGAACCTTAGTCCAGAGGAGAGAATTAGCATGATGTTTAGCAATTTTATTAATAAACTCTTTACAGTTATATGTTTTATTTGTGAAGGAGCAGAGAAGCTTTGGCTTATATCAGAGTCCTGCATTGCAAAGCTCTCTTCTGCAACAAAATGCTCTGCATTCAGCTGCTCCTGGTTTATACAGTCGGTATGGTATATATATTTAAAGATGCAACCACCATCCCCTTCTATTCTTAATACAAACAGCTAGTGGTAAATGGCACATCAACAGGAGTAAAGCACTGAACACAACGTTAAATGGTGACCCAAATTTTCTAACACGTGACAGTCTATGAACAATGAAAATCAACAATCTTCAGATAGCACAAGGCCAGTACAAGGCTGGGAAAACAAATTCAGAAAAACAGTGACATCTCATCTAAAAACTTAAGTGGGGAAAACAGAGGGCATTTCACCCATCCTTGGAGTCCCAGGGAAAAAAAAAAAAAAAAAAAAAAAAAAAAGAGTACAAACACTGGAATAACCTAAATAAGTAGATTTGCTGCTTCTGGAGAGTAGATTATTGGGATGCTTTTGAGCAGCACTTCAAATCCAAGCACTGGGGTAAAGGTAGGACTGACTGATCATGATCAACAATTCCAGTCAACCTAAATGATCAGTGGATGAATACTGAATTGACATTTTGCATTATGTTACTGTTAGATTTCTATGTATAATCATAAAGAAAGAGGTGGAATCAGAGACAGTGAATTCTAAGCACCTAGACTGCAAAGGCTGATGTAGTTGGGTTACTACTGGCACCGGAGTCTAATACAACGTATCTCTTACAAACACCTGCAGTGATCACTAGTTACACACTGGGTGCTTTGCTGAATTGTACACTTACAACTATCCATAAGAACATCTGTAGGGAACAGGAGATTTCTAGCCCCCTGCCTGTACCAATCCTAGCAGATAAAACAAAGGTTCTAGAAGCAAAAATAGAGAATGACGCTTTCTTGAGTATATTCTCCTAACTTCCAACAATTTGTGGCTTGGATGTTTCATGAACCCAAGACTCTGTCATCACACTTAATTAATTGCATCATCAAGGGATAACTATGAATTTGTTCATCACTTTTGAACCTGCAACTGATGTGGATACAAACTGTGAATTTCAATAATTGATTTCATCTGTAAAAAAAAATATATATTTATTTATTATACAACTGATAAATTTCACTTGATAATTTACTTTCTGACCACTGCCCTCTATTCAATTTTTCTGTATGAGAAATTATGCTACTTGTCGTTCTCTTTACTCAAATGACTTCTGCTTCTCCACTTGTCCTTTTCAAACTGAAGAACCTTAATCTATTTAAGACTAGATTAGTCTCTTCCTTCTTGCATAGGAAAAAATGAATAATCTATATTATAATGTTCAACTTTCTCTTCAATCTGCCTAGTTCAATAGTACCTTTTTGTAATGCAGGGTAAGGGAATTAAAATTACGTACAATACTGGAGGGCACAGTGTCAATTTACACACCCCGAAATGATGCTTTGGCTTGTTTTCTGTTGCTTTTGTCAAGATCTCTGACATTCTGTCTGCCTTTTTGCAACAGTTCACAGTTCCAGAAATATCCCTAGTGATTACAGTATATCCTTCCTTAGCTGCAATAAACACCTCTTTTAGAGCACACTGCTATTTTTGCATGTTAGGATCATTTTCCTCTTCCAATTCACGTATTGCTTTTTAATTAGTGACACGTAATTTTTTCTACCATTTTATCAAATGTTACTATGAGAGCTTTGTGTTGCTATCCAGAATTAATCTTCCACTACTCTGAAAAATTCTGTACTGTCAACACGTATTGTCACCTATTTCTCCTCACCCCTTTTTTTCCCAGACTGTTGGTAAAAATTGTGAAAGCACAGCTCCAGTCCCAGGAGGAGTTCATTCCCTGCACCTCCTCGGTCACATTTTTTAAATTTGTATCTTATTTATAACACTCCATTTCTGTGGTGAAAATGCCATCTTAAGCAGCAGCCCAGAGTTATTCAGCAACTTTATTTTTGGATTCCTTTACAAATTTTGAGTAAACATGCTTTGTGATATGCTAATCCACATTTTCTTGGCTTGTTTAAAAAATTCTGCCAGTATTCCAAATAACAATAGTCACTCACTAGTCTGCTACAGAGAAAGGGTACTTTCTAGGCACAAACGCAATGAATCCACCAATGCAAGTTATAAAGACACTCAAGGCAGAGAGGCTATAGAAGAAATTCAAAGTGAACAGATATTTTACTGCTGAGATAGACAAATCTAGGATTTCACCAGCTTCACAGAAACCAACAGCACAATCAGGACTATAATATGCAACTTCTTGTGCTGAGTCTGTTTAGTTTACTAGAACATGCTGCCTTTTGCTCTCTTGCAACCGAAGGTCGTACTGGCAGCTCCAGCTCATAACTCTGTGTGTAGCACACAGACAGAATCCATGTCGACAGATTTGGCAGCAGCTCTAAACCACAGTTGCAAAGTGGTTTCCAGTAAGATACTCGCAGCAAGAGAATTCCTGGGAAAGATTTTAATGCCATTGAAGTCAACAGGAGCGATGCCAATACAGTCAATAAAACCAGCTTTAAATGCAATACACCTTATATCCCCATATTCTGCAGTTAGCAAAATGATTTTGAAACAATTTCTATCTTTTCTATCATGAGGAATATCCTCTTAACCCCCTCAGGTTTAAAATGGAGAAATTAACACTAACAACAAATCTAACAGTGCTATTAGAATCATGTAAACTAATCTGAAAGTCTAAGCAGACTTCTGGCAACACTTTTCAAAGGAGGAGTTACAAAACATGAGATTTCCATTAGCAAAGAAAAATAAAATATATCTATGCAATAGTGTGAATAGTACTTAAATATTTGTTTATACTACCCAGAAAGTGAGGAAAGACATTTTCATTTCATTTAGGTCATGCAGCCTCTGGGAGAGTGCTAGTCAACATGAGCCAGAATCATGTCAAAGTGGAGAGCTAGGGCTGAACAACATGGGCATAGTGTGACACTACTGAATCTGTGTGCTGACTGTGACTAATTTGCTGGCAAAGAGGTAACCACTTACACCAGCATGAGTTAGGAGTAAACCCACATGACTGGAGCTATGAGGACCCAAGAGCTCATGTTTTCACACAAGTCTGTTCTGTAGAGGCAACATACATGTACACTGTAAAGAAATCCAGAAACTGTGATCTGCTTTTTGAAAGCTCTCTCAAAA